GGGCCCCGCGGAGGAAGCCCTGCTCCGCTCCCTCCCGTCTTCCCTGCCGCCGATCGCCTCCCCGCTTGCCCGTTGCCGGACCTCGCCTCCTTTTCTACTCCGCTCTCTTGCCCAACTTTCCATTTCACCAGGATAGTCCCTCTTCTTACCTTCCCCACCCCAAATTTTCCTTTGAAGTATTTTGCATTTTTCATCTTTTTCATCCGACTCCTTATTGCGTTTAACCCTTTCTCTATTAATGCTTCTTCGAGTTTAATTTTGGGGAAACTCTGAACCTCCACTACCTGTTGCCAAGGTGAGACAGGTGGAGTCCATATAAAACAGAATTATTCCAGCCCTCTTAAGGTGTTCATCAGAGAGGGATTATTGGTTCCCTTTATTTCTTCTGCAATTTTATCTTTAAAAACAGAAGCTCTCCAATCTGTCAGAGGAGACTGATGTGTCCATTTTCCTCCCTATTAGGTTCCGATTGTGTACAATCATATCTGGTCTCTGTCTAAGTGGATTCGCGATGCAATATAATTTAACATTGGGTCGTTCGCGCCCTCCTTTTTGTGGACCAGACCACCGCCTCTGACTGATCCTTGCTCGCTTGTTTCCATCACAGTAATCTCCCTTTATTTCTTCTGCAATTTTATCTTTAAAAACAGAAGCTCTCCAATCTGTCAGAGGAGTCTGACGTTTCCATTTCCCTCCCTATTAGGTTCCGATTGTGTACAATCATATCTGGTCTCTGTCTTAGTGGATTCGCGATGCAATATAATTTAATATTGGGTCGTTCGAGCCCTCCTTTTTGTGGAACAGGCCACCGCCTCTGACTGAGCCTTGCTCGCTTGTTTCCATCACAGTAATTATTTATCAACTTCTGCCAATCTTTCAAATACGTGTCTCCAATCTTTATTGGGAACAACAGTAACCATTTTTTTCCAAGCCGCCTTCCACGTAATTGCCATTAAAAGGATAACACTGATAAGGCCAAAGCAGTTTTTAAAAAAGTACTGTAATAAAAAGAGCGCTAAGCAAACGCAGCCTTTTTTTTAATGTCGGGGCGGAGAAAGCACGACCGGCCCGAGAAGAGGGCGAGAGACCCAGCGTGGGCCGGGGGGGGGCGCCTTCCTTCCCCGATCCGTGGCCGGCGCCGAGGTCCGTCCCGTCCGCC